TCTTCTTCTTCTTCTTCTTCTTCTTCTTCTTCTTCTTCTTCTTCTTCTTCTTCTTCTTCTTCTTCTTCTTCTTCTTCTTCTTCTTCTTCTTCTTCCTCTTCTTCTTCTTCTTCTTCTTTTTTTGCCGTTACGGGCCGATATTCTAACAGTGGTCTTTCATAATATTTTTCTCCTATTTGCTTAAAAATCGGTTTGTCTGGCGAGTTTGGAGAAAACAGCCCCTATCGGTTGCCGATTGCAAGTATTTGCGCGGCAAAAAAGGCCCAAAATAAGGGAGTAAAACTAATCATAAGAATAATGTGATCGATAGATTCTCACCAAACTGGGAAGACAAGACTAATCCTATTTACGCGTAATTTAATGAGAATGATAGAATACGTTGAAATTTGTTGGAATTTTACACGAGTTATGCACAATTTTGCAAAGACTAAAAACCATAATTTTCATAAAATTACAATTTTTAAAACAAGATTGAGCGCTATTAACTTTTGAGTCCTATTAACTTCACAATCAATTGAGCGCTGACTCTCCGATTTACTCTCTGAATCAACTACAGCGACGTACACAGGTAACTACTTTTGGAGATTTTTGAGAACGGATTTTTTTCTTTGCAGATTGGCCTTCCGTCCATTCGTATATATCCTTGAAACCGCGAAAACTATTCAAAAGCATTGCGCGTGGACGAGAATTCTTTAAGGACACGTGTCGACGGAGCCTAAAGTAATTGTCATTGTGAAATACGCACATGAAAGAACATTATAGTGTATTCTTGTTTGTTTCACTACAAAATATAAGGTTTACGACAACTCACCTCTGTTCGATTGCCGTACAGTCAATTACAACTATAAAACGCTTTCAGAAGCTTGGAAGTAGTTCTCTGGTGTTTGAGCATAACATAGGCTATTTTTGCTTTGATGAAAATCATCCATTATTAACAATTCGAAAAGTTACTCGTCAGATAAACAAAACGTTCACGCATGATAACTCAAAATATTTGGTCATAAAGGGTGAAAGTAGGTTATATCTATATTCGTTGTATGAACTAACCTTCACATGGCATTCATTTTGAAAATGAGGCAACAAAGAAAAAGAAAAAAGGATACATTAAATTGAATTTAAATCGTTTTCTTTGGCTTTTAGAGAAAAGGAAGAAAGAAGGAAAGGAAAAGAGAAAGAAAGAATTTACGGAATAAAATTATTGGTGACCATAACACAATCCAACACGTTTTAAGCCACGTGATGGCTAGCATTCAAAAGGTGAATTAAAATTAATTGTTTGGAACTCATAGCAAGCAGAAAAGATCCTATCTGTGGATAAAAAATCTGTTATTATTACAATCCAATTGATAGGAAAGCCGAAACAGAAATTAGTGCGACTAGTCGTTCTGCCGCGAGAATATCATGTACCGTACATCCGTGGATTTTAAATTACTATTTGCTTCGATATTTCTTTACTAGTAAATTCAAAACCGACTCTCATTATTGCGAACAATTGTTTGTCTTGCAAGAGTGCCCTATACTCTGGTCTTGATCAAGGAATAAAACCCATGCAAGAGGAATCGCAAAAATAAAACAGAAAAAAAAAAAAACCAATTTAGTTGAAAACATCTCTTTTCTATAGTTTAAATTCCTAATGAACTTTTTGTTAGAAGAGTGCTCTCCCGCTTTAAATTGATTCTTACTCCACGTTTTTCTCGCCATACGGCATGGAGTACTCTCGTTTACCCTTGCCGATTTAGTAGCATTGACGTTCGATCATCAAACCTAGCCTAATGGTTAAGGGTTAGCCGTACCTCTGATAACAATTTTGTGATAAAATTTCGAGAGCAAATTGTTTCAAAAAGTTTTTAACAGGGGTTTTGTTTCACTCTTCTAATTACCCTCGTCCGAATTTTTTTTGATTCATGCAGCTGAAAGTCTACTGCAATAATTTTGAACGGAGTCTGAGACATCATCTACTCAACACTAAACATCGCTTTGCTTTGGAATGTGGAGTAATTCATAGAAGAATCTACAATCTGGGTGGTCCCTGGTTTTAAAAGTCTGGGTTTGTTAGAAATAGCTTGGCTTATAAAAAATATTGGATTTCATAGGGGAGTTCTCCAGTATCGGGGGATGAGTGAACTAAAATAATCGCAGTCAATGATATTATTAACCAAGGACATTTTATTAAACCTCAAGAAAAAAATCAGAAAATAACACTGTCACAGTTGGGCATGCGGTAACAAAGAGTATTCACAGTTGGGGATGCGGTAACAAAGAGCATCATCTTTTAGTTATGAATAAAAATAGTATTCTTCTTCAAAAACATCCACCGAGGGAACTAAACCAAAGAGAAAGAAAGTAGAACAGGAAATCAAAAATCAAAGAGAGAGAGAGAGAGAGAGAGAAAGAAAAAACAAACAAGACAGAACAAAAAGAATGCAAAGGAATAGATATTATTCAATATTCAACTTTTTCTTACGAGTTTGGCTTAAATTATGCGCGGTGCAACGGTGGGTTGGGACACCAATTCAGTTTTGCGTCATTTTAAAGTTTTGTGTTTATTCGTTTTCGATTTAAAAATGATGCATGTTTTTTGATCGTAATTAGCCGTGGTGTAAACGATTCCTTCCTAAACAAAGACCTTCCACAGAATCAAACGCCGGTTTGCCACATGTTTTTGTCAAGGGCTACGACAAAATAAACTATGTAAGGCTCTGTGCATATTGTGTAAAGTATTTTGTATTTTAACAACAAAGCAAAACAAAGCAGATGAATTGCAGGTTTGGCTTGAGTTATAATGCGCTGCTCAAAGCTCGGTTGAGATTCAAGTTCGGTGCTGCGGATCATTTTTAAAGTTTCGTGTTGTTCGTTTTTGATTTACAGCGCTAACCGTTGTATTGCGATCCGGTGTTTCAACCCCGTTCTCGTGCCATAAGCCTTCTCAGCTGATTAAATTTTAGCTTTTTCTGAACTGGCAATCATCTTGGGTTCATGCAAATGAGTCAACTAACGGGCACGATCGCTCAGCGTCGGCCATCAAGGTTTTTTTTTCGAAAATCTAAAATGATTCGAGGATGTTCTAAGGATGCGATGGAGATTTTTTTAAAAGTCTTCTTCCTGTCAAGTATTCAAGCCTTTCTTATAGCACATCCTTGTAAAACTCAGAATATTGTGATCTGATATTTATCATGAGCAAAATGTTTTATACTGTTCACAGAAATGAATAATATTTATATCATATATCATATATTATGTAATATTTATCATGAGCAAACGGTTTTGAACTCTTCCGGCACAGAAACGGATAAGATAAAATTATATTTTGAATATAGCTTTACTTCGAAAGTTTCGACAGCACCTTACAGTTGTTTGATAAGCAAATTTTAAAGTGATTAAGACCGTCGTTTGCAAGTTAATAGTAAAAATGTCTCTAAGTTTGAGTTTCGTCCAAGTTGTATAAATTCCGACGAATTCAGTAACTGAATCACCTTTCCTGATCTTCACCCATGTTCAGCCCTGATCTTCGAGCAATTTTAGGTTTCGAAAAAATGGCCGAATCTGAGCGAGCGTTGAAATGATAAAATAAACTATGCAAGGCATTGTGTATATTGTGCAAGGTATATACATATATATATATATATTATATTTTAGCTAAGAAATGACCACGTTGATCTCAAAATGGATGCACGCCTTTCTTCCAAATCCAAGTCCAAGGATGGTAACTCTGCCTTTTTGTATCTTATATGCTGTTGTTTATACAATAAGCGGAGAAATTGCCAGCAAAAATGATTGCGATGAACAAACAAATCCAGCGTCGTGCGTAAGTTACAGTAAATGACCTTCAGTAATTGATCAAAACGGATAGAAATACGAATTAATAAACGAGCAAGAGAATTTCATCAGGTTTAGATGCACGAGGCGCAGTCGAGTGGTCATTTAGATATGGTAAAACACGATCTGCGAGTTAATTTAACTGCTTCAAAAACTCATAGATAATTCACAACCTTTGGCCGAATTAGAGCGACCATACATCTTTTTAACATACATCAATGAAAATTGGAAATGACTTGAAACTTATTTAAACTTATCTATATGGCCCATATAGTAGCCAAGCAACATGTTTCCTWCACATTCAAAAGTGGCGGGGGAAAATTATCAATTTTATTCAGCATCTAAATTGTGAGTAAATGACGTCATTTACTCAACCCTATTGTTCTTTTCGCTTTGAACCCAAGATATCTCAACAGCRAGTGGCTCCCAGGATAAAATTTTCACTAATCTGATTTTCATAATTATAATTGAGTCATATTATCCTCGAATACTTCAATTATTCAGACTTCAAAAATCGGGGCGTTTTCATCCAAGTGCCCCCTCAGCCTGTAAAAAAACATTGGTAATTGTTTTGTTGCATCTTGCATCTTGCATCTTGCATCTTGCATCTTGCATCTTGCATCTTGCATCTTGCTTACTAAGCTCGAAGCGCATTATATTCATATGAAAACAATGCCATCACAACAACAACAACAACAACAACAACAACAAAATAGCCGGAAAAACGTGCAGACAAAGTTTGATTCTTCGCTGATTATATTCACATTGCCCATAGTGCATGCCAGGCTTGGTATGCAACATGCCTCGAAACCTTCACCAACCTTTTTTGAAATAACTGTATACGTCGCGAACATAGAATTTTATACTTAGATAGAAGTTTTTACATATTTGCATCACTGCCAAATTATATATTGTAATATGAATTTTTAGAGGAGCCGAAAAAGCGTAAGTACTCATACTTTGTGTATAAGATATTCATGCTCATGCACCATAGGTATTGCACAAGTATTTAATTAAAACTAAGAATGATCAAAAGTTCATATAAAAGTAAAAATTAAGATAAACAAATAAAAAAGTACATTTCATTAGAATAAATTTTAATCAAGTATTCTTTACTTTTTTAATGAATTTTTAATTATTAAAATAATTGAACTGTATTACTAAAAGCTTGATTCCTTATGATCAATCAAACCGCTCTATTTGTGGTCTTCGTCATTCATGTTATGCCGACTACTATTTCACAGAATACATCTTCAAATATCACTATTTGTAATAGTCCCTTTTGCAGTTCCCTGCGCCATCTTGAAAGGCAGCCGTGCCTTTGCACCGAAGCGAGAAGAAACGGTGAGCTTGCAATGATAGGGACATGTGAATAATTGTCAAAGGAGCAAAAAAGGTGTCTATCATCACAAGGTTATCGTCATGCAAAGGCACGGCTACCTTTCAAGATGGCGAAAGGTACGGCTACCTTTCGGGTAATTGGCGTAAATTATCAAACTTTCAAATTATTTGATATATTAAAGTCATGCTCAGTATTGGTCTTATATGATTTTAGATAAATCCAATGCTTTACTTTGAATCTGAAAATTAAAAGATTTGAAAGTGTAAGTAATATTTACTGTGCAGAGACACTAATTAAACGGACCACTTGAAGAAAGTTAAACAATTACGACGTCGAGTGAAAAAAAAAAAAAAATTAAATTTTAAAACTTGAACAAGCTAGGAGCAAGCAAGGAAGCCTAGATAACCAAGATTATGACAACCACCGGATTATTGAGCCCATGCCATCGTTTGCCCCGTTGCTAAGCCTTAGTCTTAACTTTTGGTGTCATAGCGCACTATAACCAACATAAGATTCAGTCATTTTGAGCTAATTCTCACAGAGATATTCTCTACATAATGATTTGACTTTTTACAAGAATCCAAAAAGAAACGAAAAGAGATATCACTAAAAAAGAAAGTAAAGGCCATTCTTATTTATTTGTTTAATATGGGCTTTCATCTTAGGAAGAGATCCTGTAGGTTTGATAGGCATTTTAATATTTAGACAGAAATTAGCGCAAAAGAAATTAAGTAACATAATATGAAATTTATAACTTCACAACCTACGTTACTAGCATATTAATGCCGAGTTATGGTTTAGGCTTTATGAATTATATATTGGAGTGAACACGCAGTGGTTAGTACGAGTTGTAGACACTGAGATGATCCTTGACTTTAGGGTTTCTTTAAGTCCTCAATGGTTCTTTTATGTCTTTCTGATGTTATTTAGTGACAATGAAATCACGGAAAAAGACGGGGCCATTATTTAAAGCGGGGGGACTTCTGAGCAATTATTCGGTAAAAGCTATAATGATTTTCGGTGTCGTAGAATGCATAATATTTTCTAACTACGTACATTTACCGCAGATGCATAAATTTCTGAGTTCTTTCGTAAATTCAGGCATTTTGAACAAATAAACAGCAAGATTGAGAAATGAGTTACTAAGAAATACAATGTATACGACTTGGTAAACTTCTATTTTAGAAACTATTGTATCTACTTCTAAAAGCAAGACAATATCTGCTACTGTTCTTGGCATCCAGGTTCCTAGTGAAACCAAAGTCACTATGAATAGTGTTTTGGTTAATTTACTGTTCTCTTGGATTGTTCGGGAGCGACGAAACTTGGTGAAGAATGTCATTTTGATCCAAATGGAAAGATAGGAAGCGAGTATTGTAGAAAGTGATGCTACTGATATAATGGAATAATTGACTTCCGCACTCAAACGTTTATTCGAAATCGCTCTGCAAAAAAACGAATATGTAATTCCTGCAACAACAGAAAGTAGCCATACAAACCCAATGGTAGTTAGGAAGTGCCATCGTTTTGCAAGACGATGATGAAACGGCCAAAACACTGCAATTACTCTCTCTACAGAAATAACAGCTAGTGTCAGGATAGAGCTGGATGTGCTAAACACAACAAAACCCCCGTAAATCATGTGCATATATGTATATTCAAGAGATGGAAATATTTTCCATAAAACTTCTAATATAACGCCCGAAAATCCAACGAGCAAATCAGCGATGGTGAGGTTCACCAGAAGGTAGGTGGATTTCTTGACAAGCAACGACCTTTTCAGGAAAACTGCAAGAGCGATAAGGTTAGCAACTACAATCAAAATGCAAAGTGGAAGCAATTTTCGAAGCCACGACAAACTTTGGATCAAGTCTTTGTCAGCAATATTGCCAGCCATTTCACTGCTGATGATGTCGGCAGTGAACCGTCCTTAAAATGGGATTTCTCTAATTTAACAAGAGGTTTATGAGCTTCAAAACTAATCTATATGATCTGTAAAACTGAAGAAAAGTGACACCTCAGTTTTGCAAATTTCCTTGATTCTGATTGGCTAACATTTTCTCTCAGATCAACTGGATGCAATGTGAAATTCTCAAATGACAGCTTTTTAATTATGTCTTATGCGTATTAATCTTTTTCATATTTTACTTTTTTTCATACTAATAAGAAAAAGTAAACAGTCTAAAAATAAAGATTATTTAATAAGGTTCCGTCATGGAGGAGAGAGAAAAACTCTTGAATCGATTGTACCCGCTCTATTTTATTTTTTTCTGATCTTCAGTCCTGTACGTCCTCTTTTCCCTATTCATTCCCTTCGATTCACCACCAACAGCCGTCCAGCGTTGGCCAGGTTCCTCAGAAGTTAAGTCGATTTAGCAAGAAATAAGCTATTCAAGAATGGCTGCGAAGAAATTGATTACAGTGAGAATCGAAAAAGCGTGGGCATCTAGAAATATTCCAGGAATGTTTTATTCTTCTTTCGCCATTCAGAATTGACTTTCTAGCCACAAGATAACGGAAAGAAAACAATAACGCTTCTGATTGGCTGATTAAACATTCTTAAATATATCTAGGTGCCCTCGGTTTTTCGATTCGCACTGGAATTATCAAACACATATGTGATTTTTAATTAAAACTGAATAATAACAAATATTTTTAGAATAAAACAAATTTTTTTATTTATTTCAAAGACATCATAACATGCTTGTGGGAGAGCAAGGTAAGCGGCAAATAACATTCACACTCGATGTAAAGCGTCTTTCATTCGGTATATCTATATAGAAAGGGCGCTATGCAAATCATAAATCATCGTAGTTGATCGTAATTTCGTTCAACTTGTTCAAATAAATTGATTATTAATGCTCTTTTCACTGCAGGTGCTGTGACAATTCGTCTTCATCTAAGCCCTTGATAACCGAATACAAAGCATCCACGGCCAAAGTCAGGTTCGGACCGGAGGTGGTGACTTTGAAGTGTAAGAGTTATTCAGTGGCTTTGAAGTATAAGCCGCTCTCAATTTTTATAAATACTAAAATAGTCCATCATATTCTAAATTGTGAGCCATCCATGTTGGCTTTTTCTCGGTCAGTGAGGGCAGTAAACAAATAAACAATCAATCAGGGCGATCTGGCGAGAACATGAAAGACAAGAAGGGCAGATTTTGTAAACTCAAATAAAAACAGGCCCATTTAACACCATTTCTCTCTTTTTAAAGTCGGTATCTGGTTTAAGACGAACAGAAAGAAAAGAAAAATAAAAAACAAAAACAAACAAACAAACAAACAAAAAAAAACAAACAATAATAGTGATAATAATAATATATGAACTAAACAAAAACAATACGAACATGATAAAAAAATTAAAAAAAATAAAWAAATTGACCTCGGATTGTGCAAAAATATTTTTAATTTGCCTTTGTTTCTTATATTATTTCTAATTTACTCCTCATGAACAAGCGAAAGATTTGATAATCAACAATCATATATAGGTTTCATCAGGAGGTGCTCTGATTGGCAGAAAATTTTATGTTTTTCCAGAGTAAACAATGATATGGCTCATGATTTATAGTAATCTTTTCGTGTCAAAAAGAGCCGCTCCAGCAATGTTTCAGCAGAGAAAAGAAATCAAATTTGATCCATTTGTTAAATATGACAATGCAATAATGATAAATAATTTTCTTGGAATTAGGATTATATTTTTTTATATTTAAAATTCGAAATTAACTAAAAAAAGAATTTCCCCAAGCTCCTTTCTAAACTAAGGCATCTTTAACAATTAAACAACCACATTTAAAACGAGTTGGCGAGAAGTAATGCAAACAAACTTTAATGAGGATAGGGTGTCGCTAGGAAAAGACAAAGTGCGACAAAGTTATTACAAATTGCGACAGGTATTACAAAGTGCGACAATTATTACAAAGTGCGACAGTACATACAGATATAATTACATTACAAAGAATCAGTCAATTTTATCCCAATAGTAAAGTATGAAGGTATTATTGTGACTAGGGATATGGCTATAGGAATACTTAGGATAGCTATTTATGGGTTTTTCTCAAAATCGATGAAGTAATAATCAATAATATAAATTTATTTAGGCACTGCCTAACAGGGAAGCTCCCATTGTTTTAGACACAATTAAAATAAAACTTAAAGACGAAAATAAAATCGGGAAAAATTATGTAATTTCTTTTATTATAAATAATAATAATGTCCCCCATAATGAAGACCAGCAAAAAAATCAATCAAAACGCACTACATACTTTTCCTCCCTAATACTTGTTTTCCACCCTACTCCCAGCTCTCCCACTTAGAAATTTTGACAAGTGTACAGAACCCACCACTGCCAACCATGCCAGAAGGCTACTTTGTCTTTGAATCTTAAACCCTTAGATAAAGTTTTCTATGGACGACATTTTCAAGCTTTGAATTGATGGTTAATTTTACTGGAGAAACGCCGAAAGATAGCTACAGATAATGCAATACAATATCCGGTTTAGTGAAATTTACCTAGAACTTTTTCATTCAATTCCAAATTTTGGAAATTCCCAATTTTTTTTCAGGGCGAAACAACGCTAAACAGACTTGAAAACAGGTAAGTTATACTAAGCAAAATATAAGATTACTACTACTACTTTTACATAAAGATGTTTCGCGGTCTCATGAAGTTCACATCCAGTAAAGGACTTTTGAGGCTCCGAATGGGCTTTTGAACCATATATAATTAGTCAATTCAGTTTCTTTTTATCTATTTAAATTTTTTTTAGTTTTTCACTTTTATTTATATTTGTTCATTTTTATTTTTTGCGATGATCAAAACACAAAACATATAGCTTTTCGATAATGAAAAATGTACCTTTAATAAATGTGAAAAAATAATATTTCTATGCATTTGCAAGTAGTTTTCAAAACTACAAAACAATTGCTTTGAAATCAACTGGGAACGGGAATTCTGTGGTGTGTACAAACAAATTGGGAAAAAATGGTTAATGACTCTTGCAAATGCTACATTACGCATATGGAAAGTGATCTTCATTTA